CCAATCAGATCGTCCAAACAAAGTGAGTCGACGAGAACGTTGTCAGTGGTCGTACTTCAATTTTATTGTTCAGAGAAAAATCCAAAACAAGTAAAAAATAAATTACTTCCTTTTATTTCCTGAATCTTTTTAAAAACAACCTGGTTAGAGGTGAAGAAGGAACAGTTTTACGCACCACACACATCTGAACGCAAACTCAGTCAAGTCGCAGAAAGACATTTGTAGATCTGACGAAAATCTTTACCTTCAGGAGAGAAAAAACTTCTAGATGTTTCCAGGAGTGGTTTGGCGCCACCTACAGACCATTTAGGAGAAGAATCTTTAAATTGAAGTGAGTTTGATAAAGTTAGACTCAAAGTTTGGTTAGCTAGGATATTAGCGTTAGCTTGTACTCAGTTGTGGTTGTGAATATTTGGACTAAATGTTTTGAAACAAAAATACATTTTCAACAAATCAAAGTGTAAACAGTTCCAACGTAGACGCTGAAAAAAAACAATAACGATAATCGTGTTTCCTCCGCGGTTAATCGTTGACGTAGCTGAGTGTAAATAATCTGGGAGCCCCGCCCACTCGCTCTGCCCTACAATGTCAATGTGAAACCCTCCATCAGGCACTTGGTGATTTGTCCTTGAACCGTCCAATCAGAGGACAGAGGGCGCCTCGGCCTCCTCTCAGTTAGTCACTCCTCTCTTTCGCCTCGTCCTCAGCCCCGCCCTCTGCTCCGCCCCCTCCAAGCTCCGCTTGCTGCGGTAGACGCCGGGGGAGGTCAGGTCCCCGTCCTCCATGTCAAACGCCGTCTCGTCAGGAGACACGGGTCTGGGCGCGGGGTAGTTGGGCTGGTAGTAGCGGTAGGGGTCGTCCTCCTCCACCTCGCCGTAGTTCTGGAAGACGTTGGGCGGTAGTTGCACTGCAGAGATAGCGCCGCCGTGAGTGTCATCTTCACCCTCTGCGTCGACCGCCAACCAGACCAGGAGCGAACCAGCGGACGAAACAGCCCAAAACCACCACCAGGGGAGGGAGGGGCGAGGAGTGTGAGTGAGGAGGGTTATGATTGGGTTAGCCAGGCACAAGGAAGGGTGAGACACAAGAGGGGACAAGGGGTGAGTTACTGTGGGTCAACAAAAAGTACCAGCGTTACCAATAGTACCAGGAAGAGGCGGTTCTCTGGGACTAATGAAGCTCAGGAAAAAGGTTTAGTTACTGGTTACTGCGGGTTAACCAGATATTACTAGTCACTGTGGGTGAGTTGTGTATTACTAGTTACTGCAGGTTAACCAGTTAATTCTAGTCACTGTGGGTGAGTTGTGTATTACTAGTTACTGTGGGTTAACCAGATATTACTAGTCACTGTGGGTGAGTTGTGTATTACTAGTTACTGTGGGTTAACCAGATATTACTAGTCACTGTGGGTTAAGCCGTTATTACTAGTCACTGTGGGTGAGTTGTGTATTACTAGTTAATGTGAGTGAGCTGATTATTACTAGTTCCTGCAGGTTAACCAGATATTACTAGTCACTGTGGGTGAGTTGTGTATTACTAGTTAATGTGAGTGAGCTGATTATTACTAGTTCCTGCAGGTTAACCAGATATTACTAGTCACTGTGGGTTAAGCCGTTATTACTAGTCACTGTGGGTTAAGCAGTTATTACTGGTTACTTTAGGTTAGTTGATTATTACGAGTTGCTTTCGGTTAACCAGTAACTACTAGTTACCTACTGGTTATTACTGCAGGTTAGACAGCTGGTCTGGTTCTAGTTATTACCATCGTAGTTACACTTGTTATTAAAACTGTTAATGCTGTTTTTATGCGGTTGAAGTCTGGCCTCAGGTTAAAGTATTAACGGAGTACTGGGGAGTACTGGGGAGTACTGGGGAGTACTGGGGAGTACTGGGGAGTACTGGGGGGCCGTGGTCAGCGAAGCCGATTTACGACCAGACGAAGCGGACGATCGTAATCTAGAGGGAAGTGAGGAGAGACGTGATGTCATCATGAGGTCAGAAGAATGGGAGAAAGAGTCGAGGGTGCAGCTGAGGGACCCCGAGCCAACGTTTGGACAAACCAGATGGAGACAGACACACAAGGACTGAGGACACATGCTGACATTCAGGTTAGTCCCCACAGCACCCCCACAGGCTACCAGCAGCACAGCCCACTGTGTCACCTTTGACCTTTAAACAGCACACTTGTCCGTTCAGGCGAGGGTGTCAGAAATAGTTAAATGTGAGTCCAGCAGGGGGCAGTGTAGGTTTGTGTTTGACATGAACAAACGCTCCTCTGGGGCTAATGCTAAGCTAACAGTCCCTCAGGTTCAATCTTTACATTTGGTTTTTTAGTTCCTCAGCTACTGAGTCACCAGGTGAAGGACGCCCCCTGCTGGTTGGACTCTGACATTGTTCTTACGTACCTCCTACATTGTAACCCACACAGGAGTTGGGGTCACAGTATCCTGGGGGCCCAGCTGGGCCAACGGGTCCAGGGAGGCCAGGCCGTCCAGGGGTTCCAGGATTCCCTGGACGTCCTGAGGGACCCTGGTTTCCTGGACGTCCCTGTCCCTGTGGACCTGGGTGGAGATAAAGAGGAGGACAGGCGTCTGTGATCACCTCCTGCACCACGTGACCATGGTCTACAGAGGAGTAACTCCTTATCTACCAGGAGGTCCTGAGAGTCCTCTGGGACCTTGGAGTCCGGTTCCTGGTGATCCCTTCTCTCCCTTCTCTCCTGGTTGACCTGGTAGAAAGAGGACTTTGTTGAGCACTGGTACTGCCGCTGGTCCAGGACCAGCTGTGTCATGGATCCGGTCCGCCGGTCCGACTCACCTCGTTCTCCTGGCTGTCCGTTCTGTCCGTTCTGTCCGGGAAACCCAGATCTTCCTGGTGGTCCCTGCTCCCCCTGGGGCCCCGCGGCCCCCGGCCGACCGGGCTCTCCTGGGGGTCCTGGTACCGTGCGCACGGTTACCTGTGGACTGGGGACGTGGTTCAGGATGGAGTTGTATCGAGCCATGTGACCTGGAAACAGAGGTGGAAGTGACATCACGACGTTTCAGTACCAAGGACCGGGACCAGGAACCAGAGTCTAGACCAGGTGAGGGGGCGGAGCCAGGGGCAGATAGATGGAGCGTTCGTGTGAACGAAGAAAAGGCAGAAGTTCGATGATAATGTAAATAAATTATATCATTTGGATAAGTTTGGTGGGCGGGACTAAAAAGCTGAACCGGCCACATCCGGGCCCCGGGCCTTAGTTTGTCCCTGCCTGGTCTAAACCCTGTATAACTGGACCTAGAACTGATTATTGGTGTTTGTAGTGGTCCTGTGGTTCTTGGACCGGTTCTGCCTCCTTCTACTGAATGTTCTGGACCAGACCTGGACCAGACCTGGACCAGACCTGGACCAGACCAGAGTCAGCAGTACTTACTCTGGATCAGCTGCTCACAGACCTGACGAGCGATGTCCTGGACAGACGCCGTGGACTGAAGGTCCCCCTGCACACACACACACACACACACACACACACAGACGTGTCACAGTGTCATGTGACCGTGACTGAACAGACGATGTTGGACACAGAGATGACCCTTGACCTTCAGCCACTCACCCGTTCACCTTTCTCACCCTTGCTCCCTGCAGGGCCCTTGAACAGAGGAAAGAAGGAAGTGAGCGTGTGTCCATGAGGGTCACATGACATGATGTCATCAAATCTCTGTCTATTCACTGGTTGTTCTGAGCCATGTTGAAGCTCTCCACCAGAGAGCATCATCTTCATCATCATCTTCATCTTCATCTTCTTCATCATCTTCATCATCATCATCTTCATCTTCATCTTCATCATCATCGTCTTCATCATCATCGTCTTCATCATCATCGTCTTCATCATCATCGTCTTCATCATCATCTTCATCATCCCCATCATCGTCTTCATCATCATCGTCTTCATCATCATCTTCATCATCACCATCATCGTCTTCATCATCATCGTCTTCATCATCATCATCTTCATCTTCATCTTCATCATCATCATCATCTTCTTCATCATCATCTTCATCATCGTCATCATCTTCATCATCATCATCATCATCATCAGCATCATCATCATCATCATCATCATCCTCATCATCATCTTCATCATCTTCATCACCTTCATCATCTTCATCTTCATCATCATCTTCATCTTCATCATCATCATCATACAGGAGGGGAGAATTTCCCACAATGCTCTGTGGTTTTGTTAGTAATGTTGAGCTGGGTCATTAGCTCAGACTCACCGGGGGTCCCAGCTCGCCCTGTTTTCCTGGGGGGCCTGTGTTTCCTGGAGCTCCGGGGGCCCCTGGTGTTCCCTGTAGAAACAGACAGAGTCACAGCTGCCATAATAACCCTGAGCGCCCCCTGCTGCTCCCTCAGGACTGCATCGGCGAGGACTTACTATGTTCCCCGTGGAACCCTGTCGTCCCTGCAGACCGTCTTTACCGGGCAGACCCTGTGGAGGTCCGGCTCATTAGTCATGTGATCAGGACCACAGTGTGTAGTTGTGTAGTTGTGTAGTTGTGTGACTCACTCTGGGTCCTGGGGGTCCTTCTCTGCCCGGACCTCCGGCTCGACCAGGAACTCCCTGAAACAACAGAGCGGAGGTGTTTTAGTCTCACTGCTGGCGCCCTCTGGTGGAGAGCTTCAGCGTGGCTCAGAACACCTTCCAGATGCCCTCACCTGGGTTCCCTGTTGTCCTGCGTCTCCTTTCTGCCCCTTCTCTCCAGGAGAGCCCTGCAGATGGACATGACAGTTCACACATTCACCAGCAGGAGGAGGAGGATCAGATTAAGACGATGATGAAGATCAGATCTTACTGGAGGTCCAATGATGGAGCGTCCACTGGGTCCCTGTGCTCCTGGAGGTCCCTGAGGTCCTGGAACACCTGTGTCCCCCACCGGACCACCTGGACCCTGGAGAGTGAAGAGTAAAGTTACGGGGGGGGGGGGCGTTGGGGGCTGGGGGGGGGGGGGGTTGGGGGGACTATTTGAGGATCTAAACCTGGACCACCTACCACTGGACCTGGTTCTCCACGATCTCCTCGGGCTCCTCTGATCCCTGGACCTCCCTGTGGTCAAACACACGTCAGAGGAGTCACATGTGGACCGTGTGTGTGTGTGTGTGTGTGTGTGTGTGTGTGTGTGTGTCGTACTGGAGGTCCAGTGGGTCCGGGGGGGCCTTTACTGTCCTGGGTGCAGGTGCAGGCCTTGGGCAGAGCAGGACAGTCCACCTCCTTCCTCTGGAGGAGAACAGAGAACAGGGTCACCACTACAGGACTACAGAACCCAGCAGGAACCTCAGGAACAGGAACCTCAGGGTTCTCCTCTGACTCCTCACCAGAGCAGGAAGTTCACAGCACTTGTCTCTGTTGGCCCACGACGGACTGCAGACGATGTCGAACATCTGCAGCTCAAACTGTGGGGCGGGGGTGGGGTTAGTACACGTGAGTGTGAGTGTGAGTGTGAGTGTGTGTGTGAGTGTGTGTTGGTCTCACTGGAGCAGAGTTCTCCTTGTTCTCTCTGGACCGGACCATTCTCCCCAGAACTTCCTGTCCGTCAGTGGTGATGTTTCCTGCAGCGTTGATGGTTTTCTCAGCCACCAGTTTACAGTCGATGGTCACTCTGGCACTGGTCTTACTGATGGAGATGTGGAGCTGCAGGAAAGACACACACACACACACACACACACACCATCTGTATGACACACACACACACAAAGGACTGGAGGAGTGGAGAGGCAGTGTGACCTTTGACCTCCTGACCTTATGGAAGCTGCCGTAGAAGAGCTTCCTGATGTGGTCTCCTTCGAAGGTGACGGTCTGGAAGTCTCCTCTGTAGTCGTTGTTGAAGAAGGTCAGAGTCTTCCCTCCATCTGTCAGAGACAAACACCACAGCATGAGGACACCGCCTCCACCCGCAGGACGAGGACGCAACTCCTGACTCACTGTCCAGGATGACTCCCACCAGGGGCTCCTTCTTCTGGTTGAGGATTTCCCACAGAGCGAAGGGTTCCTCGGGGGTGTGGGGCAGCAGCCTGAACAGCAGGGAGATGGTGTAGTCGGAGGGGAGACCCTCAGGGTGGAGGAACCTGTGGAGAGGACACGAATTAACAGGAGTGACCACGGTGTGGAGCTGAGGGGAGAAGCTGGACGTGGGCTCCACCTGGTGGGCTGGGCCAGGAGAGCGTCACTGTGGAGGTGGAAACAGGAGAAGGTGTTGAAGGTCCCAGGAACCATGGAGACCCCAGAGATACTGCTGTAGCGACTCTCCACCAGGCCAAACAGCTCCATCATGTGGAAACCTGGGGGAAAACATCGCACTTGACTAAAACATCTTCCTCCCCTTGGGGCAGTAGTGAGCTGAGGCCTGCAGGCCCCCGTACCCACCTGGCATGGTGCTGCCGCTCATCGGTATGGACGGACAGGCTGGGACGGAGGAAGAAAACAGGAAACACGATCAACCATGACAACGACAACAACGACAACAACAACCACGACGATGACAACGACAGGTCAACAACAACAACAACAACAACAACAACAACAACAACAACAACAACAACAACAACAACAACAACAACAACAACAACAACAACAACAACAACAACAACAACAACAACAACAACAACAACAACAACAACAACAACGACAACAACAACAACCACGACAACAACAACAACCACGACAACGACCACAACGACCACAACAACCACAACGACAACAACAACAACAACCACGACCACGACAACCACGACAACAACCTCAACGACAACCACGACGATGACAACGACAGGTCAACAACAACAACAACAACAACAACCACGACAACGACAACAACGATCAACCACGACAACGACCACGACGACAACAACGATCAACAATGATCAACCACGACAACAACCACAACGACAACAACCACAACCACAACAACAACAACAATGACAACAACAACAACAACCTCAACAACAACAACAGGCACGACGATGACAACGACAGGTCAACAACAACAACAACAACAACCTCAACAACAACAACAACAACAACAACGACAACAACGACAACGACAACAACAACAACCACGACGATGACAACGACAGGTCATGTGACTCACTGGCGGTGGCTGCTTCACACACAAACGTCACCAGCTTTTCCTCGATCTTCTTGAAGGCGTCCAGGTCGTCCACAAAGAAGACGTGGCGGTCGCTGGGCTTGCTGGCGATGCTGACCAGCTCGCCGTAGTCGGCGTCGGCAAATCCAATGGCAAACACGATGTAACCTTCAAGGCCAGTGGGAGAGATGAGTGTTAGTTGATTCAGTCAGCGCCGGGTGAGGGTGGGGGTCAGGGTGAGGGTGAGGGTGAGGGTGAGGGTCAGGGTTAGGTTAGGTTAGGTTAGGGTTAGGGTTAGGGTTAAGGTTAGTTAGAGTTAGGGTTAGTTAGAGTTAGGGTTAGTTAGGGTTAGGGTTAGGGTCAGGGTGAGGGTCAGGGCCAGGGTTAGGTTAGGGTTAGGGTTAATTTAGGGTTAGGGTTAAGTTAGGGTTAGTTAGAGTTAGAGTTAGGGTTAGTTAGGGTTAGTTAGGGTTAGGGTTAGGGTTAAGTTAGAGGGTGGGGGTGGATCAAAGACTTCATCAGCTGACCTTCCATCTGCATCTGCTTGGACACCTTGTTGACGTCGTCCTGGGAGCGTCCATCGGTGAGGACCACCAGGACGTTGGGGACACCACGTCTGACGCCGCCCTGTGCCGTGAAGATCTTGTCCTTCACGTGCTGAATGGCTCGACCTGATTGGACCAGAGGAAAAACAACAAGGTGACTAACAGCTGAGGGAGGACGCACACCCACAGACACACACACCCACAGACACACCCACAGACACAGACACAGACACACCCACAGACACACACACACACACACACACACCCCCACACACACACCCCCAGACACAGACACACCCACAGACACACCCACACACACACCCACAGACACACACACACACACACACACACACACCCCCACACACACACCCCCAGACACAGACACACCCACAGACAGACCCACCCAAAGACACACCCACAGACAGACACACCCACAGACAGACAGACACACCCACAGACACAGACACACCCACAGGCAGACAGACACACCCACAGACAGACCCACAGACACACCCACAGACACCCCACAGACACACCCACAGACACACCCACAGACCCACCCACAGACCCACAGACAGACACAGACCTGTCTTTGTGTTCCCGCCCTTGTAGGAGATCCTGTTGATGGCGTCCAGGAGTCGCTCCTTGTCGTTGTATGAATTCAGCTTGAACTCTGTACGAGCGTCGTCACTGAACTGAGACATGGCCACCTGACACACACACACACACACAGACAGGTCCTCAGGTCCAGCGGGTCCAGGCCGAGGTCAGGTCACCTGAGCTGCGCTCCACTCACCTGCGTCCCGTCCGGTCCGATCCTGTCCAGAGCTCCGACCGTGCTGTAGAGGAAGCTGATGATCTTCAGGAAGTTCTCGTCACCGATGCTCCAGGAGCCGTCGATCAGGAACACCAGGTCTGCTTTGGCTGCCTTACACACTACAGACCAGGAGGGGGAGGTGTGGGGGACAGGGGGGGGGGTCAGAAAGAGGTGAGGGGGGGGGACACAAATGACCTTTGACCCCTGTGTTGAGGTGGACGTGCTCTCACCTTCTTTGGCAGCTGGGATTGTGGGTAATGGAGCGGGGGGCGGGGGGTTGGGGGGGGCCTGGGTTGGAACAGGTACTGTTCACACACACCCACACACAGACACACCCACAGACCCACAGACCCACAGACCCACAGACAGACACATCCACAGACACACCCACACACACACACACAGGTCCTCAGGTCCAGGTCCAGGCCGAGGTCAGGTCACCTGAGCTGCGCTCCACTCACCTGCGTACCCTCCGGGCCGCTCCTGTCCAGAGCTCCGACCGTGCTGTAGAGGAAGCTGATGATCTTCAGGAAGTTCTCGTCGCCGATGCTCCAGGAGCCGTCGATCAGGAACACCAGGTCTGCTTTGGCTGCCTTACACACTACAGACCAGGGGGGGGGGGGGGGGGCGGGGGGGGGGGGGGGGTCAGAAAGAGGTGACGGGGGGGGACACAAATGACCTTTGACCCCTGTGTTGAGGTGGACGTGCTCTCACCTTCTTTGGCAGCTGGGATTGTGGGTAATGGAGCGGTGGTCGGGGGTTTGGTCGGGGCCTGGGTTGGAACAGGTACTGTTCACACACACACACACGCACACACACACACACACACACACACACACACAGCTGTAATTAAAGTCATTATAAAGAGTTTCAGTCTGAAATTAAATTTCTGTCATGGAGAAAATGAAACACCACTGACAGCCACGGGGTGTGTGTGTGTGTGTATGTGTGTGTGTGTGTGTGTGTGTGTGTGGGGGGGGTAACACACACACACACACACACACACACAGACAGAAGAATGTATAAAATCACATGTTCATCTGTGTCACTTTGAAGTGTTAGTCTTTGAAGTCCTCATCTTTAATGTGACCTGTGTGTGTGTGTGTGTGTGTGTGTGCTCCCACATGTTCTCTCCACGACGTTGACGGCGCCCCCTTCAGTCCCGTCCTGCAGCTGGGAGTACACGTTGATCTTGTACTGTGTGTCTGACTTCAGGTTGTTGAAACAGTGTCTGTTGGTCCTTCCACTCACAGACACTTCCTGTCTGTGTCCATCTGCTGGGTCAGAGGGTCAGAGGGTCAGAGGGTCAGAGGGTCAGAGGTCAGCAGCAGCAGTGGGACCAGCACTCACTGAGCAGGGACTCCAGGGTGAGCCTGTAGGCGTTGGCGTGTGGGTGCGGCTGCCACTGAGCGCAGAGACTGGTCGTCCTCTGCTGGGACACACTCAGGTTGGACACAGCCAGGGACACTGGAGACACAGAAGCAGGTGGGGGGGGTCAGAGGCTGTCTGCGGCCCCACCCTCAGCACACACACACACACACACACACACACCAGGTCAACCTACGTGTCTTGGCTCTTCCTGACAGAGCGTCACTGGAGCCGGTGGTGTAGGACGCGATGACCTTGACGCTGTAATCTGTCCCACTCAGCAGGTTGACGATCAACATGGTGTCCACGTCCTCCCCAACGAAGGTCTCCAGAGCTGGACCAGGAGCTGTGGACGGAGGAACAAAGGTTCTGTTGGACGTGGACCAGTGACTGGAGCGGTCTTTGAGACCACAGGACGGGGCCCCAGGACCGGGCCACAGGACTGGGCCACAGGACTAGGCCACAGGACCGGGCCACAGGACTGGCCCACAGGACTAGGCCACAGGACCGGGCCACAGGACTGGCCCACAGGACTAGGCCACAGGACCGGGCCACAGGACTGGCCCACAGGACTAGGCCACAGGACCGGGCCACAGGACTGGGCCACAGGACTAGGCCACAGGACCGGGCCACAGGACTGGCCCACAGGACTAGGCCACAGGACCGGGCCACAGGACTGGCCCACAGGACTAGGCCACAGGACCGGGCCACAGGACTGGCCCACAGGACTAGGCCACAGGACCGGGCCACAGGACTGGGCCACAGGACCGGACCACAGGACCGGACCACAGGCCTGGGCCACAGGCCCGGGCCACAGGACCGGGCCACGGGACTGGGTCACAGGACCGGGCCACGGGCCTGGGCCACAGGACCGGACCACGGGACTGGACCACAGGACTGGGCCACAGGACTAGGCCACAGGACCGGGCCACAGGACTGGCCCACAGGACTAGGCCACAGGACCGGGCCACAGGACTGGCCCACAGGACTAGGCCACAGGACCGGGCCACAGGACTGGCCCACAGGACTAGGCCACAGGACCGGGCCACAGGACTGGCCCACAGGACTAGGCCACAGGACCGGGCCACAGGACTGGGCCACAGGACTAGGCCACAGGACCGGGCCACAGGACTGGCCCACAGGACTAGGCCACAGGACCGGGCCACAGGACTGGGCCACAGGACCGGGCCACAGGCCTGGGCCACAGGACCGGGCCACGGGACCGGACCACGGGACCGGGCCACAGGACCGGGCCACAGGACTGGGCCACAGGACCGGACCACAGGACCGGACCACAGGCCTGGGCCACAGGCCCGGGCCACAGGACCGGGCCACGGGACTGGGTCACAGGACCGGGCCACAGGCCTGGGTCACAGGACCGGGCCACAGGACTGGGCCACAGGACTAGGCCACAGGACCGGGCCACAGGACTGGCCCACAGGACTAGGCCACAGGACCGGGCCACAGGACTGGCCCACAGGACTAGGCCACAGGACCGGGCCACAGGACTGGCCCACAGGACTAGGCCACAGGACCGGGCCACAGGACTGGGCCACAGGACTAGGCCACAGGACCGGGCCACAGGACTGGCCCACAGGACTAGGCCACAGGACCGGGCCACAGGACTGGCCCACAGGACTAGGCCACAGGACCGGGCCACAGGACTGGCCCACAGGACTAGGCCACAGGACCGGGCCACAGGACTGGGCCACAGGACCGGACCACAGGACCGGACCACAGGCCTGGGCCACAGGCCCGGGCCACAGGACCGGGCCACGGGACCGGGTCACAGGACCGGGCCACGGGCCTGGGCCACAGGACCGGACCACGGGACTGGACCACAGGACTGGTCCACAGGACCGGACCACAGGACCGGACCACAGGCCTGGGCCACAGGCCCGGGCCACAGGACCGGGCCACGGGACCGGACCACAGGACCGGGATCGTCAGATTACCAGTAACGGGCTGGTACACCACTCTGTAGCCCATGGTGGGTGAGGGGGGGGCGTCCCAGCTGATCCTGAAGCGGTTGTACCACTCCTCTGAGACCCGCAGGTTCCTGGGAGCTGACAGAGGAACTGAGGAGGAGCAGAGACACAGGAGGTGGAGGGGACATCAGAGGAGGTGTCCTCGGGGACTCAAACCTACAACCCCGTGTCTCAGACTCACGTGTTCGTCCCATCAGTGAAGACGCTGGTCCGTCCCCGTCAGGGTAGACTGGGATGATGGACACCTTGTACTCTGTGTCTGAGAGCAGAGGCTGCAGGACCAGGATGTTCTGTCCACTGGGGACCGTCCTCTGGACCACACACACACACACACACACACACACACACACACACACACACAGAGTCAGTGTCAAACATCAGTCTACAGACCGGAGCAGGTCTTCAGGACAGTGGTTCTAAACCCATCAGGTTCCACTGATCAGTGGCTACATTAGCATGTAGCCTAGCAGAGCTGAGGAATTGGACCTGCGACCTTGAAGACCTACCGTCTCCTCAGCGCGGTCTCCTTTGGCGCTGATGTAGCTGAGACGATAATGTCGCAGGTTTCTGGAGTCCAGCGTCTGCCAGGACACCCTGAGACTGTAGGTGGTCTCATCGTCGATCTTCAGGCTCCTCACCCCATGACGAGGAGCTGCAG